CACTGGGCAGCCTTGAAGAGTGCCTTGAATCTGCCAACTGCGCTTCCTCATTTTCCAAGGGGTCACTCATCTGCATCATACAGTCAGCCCGTCAACTGTTTGTGTACAGGCCTGAGGATACAGAGCAGGGAAGACATGTTGGATGTGACGGGTGGGAAAAAAAATTTAAATCTCTATTTACTCCGCAGGGCCTGTGGGCTGTGCAGCCGTCGCAGAGCAGCAATGCTTCCTGAAAACTGACGTGAGCGACAAAGCAAACTGGGAACGATTTGTGCTGTGATATAGCCATTAAGTGAAGAAATTGATCAGAGGAATCCACAAACAGAATGACAGGGCATTAGAGCAATAGAATTTAACTCTGCTTTAAGTTGCACTTTTACTAATTAAAACCACAAGGAAATAAATATATTATTGTAACTTGTTAGTATGGATTTAATGCAGTTTAATTAATTGTTTTCTTAGTTTTGTTTATATTATTTAAGCTAATGCCAATTAATATGTGCAATAAATCTAATTTTATTAAGGCCATAATGTCAGAAAATAAAAATTCTATCTAATGGTTTGTTACTGTACGTGTTTAGATATTTAAAAAACAAAAACAAACAAAAAAACAAATAGTGCCAGCCATCTTGCTTTTCCATGTTTATCAATTACCATGAATTAAACTTTAAAGCATTTACAGAAAAAAAATAATTATTTATTTTTCTGTAGCCAGAATCTGGACAGTAAGTTAGCCAGAAGACATCAAAGCTAGCTTAAAAAGTAAATATGACATATTCTTGTGGTTACATTTACATTATACAGTTTAGAAACTCTCATATAATAAGTATTACTTGAATGAAATAACTTCCAATACAGCTGTCAAAATTTAATAATACAATACAATCAATTCAATTATTAACACATGGACAATTTGAAAATTGCTGGTTCTAATTAGTGTACTAATGATATTAGGATTTATTATTTATCCTTAATCGACTTCTCGTCGTTCTTTGGGTACCCCAAAAGTGAATGTGATTAGGCACATCAGGCAAGTATCTTATAACCAGCATTCCATTTTAGAAGATTGGTTTCACAGTTTATTTGATAAAAATACTTATTTGGACAACAAGATGTTACCAGGAGCACACTGAATGAATGTGAGACACACCACAAATTGTTTTACCAAATGTTATTTTTTAAGTTCCTCCAATCAGTTCTGTGTCCTCTCTCACGCTAGTTTTAATCAGTTTTGTTTCAGCTTATCATCACACAGTAACAGAACATGATAATGTACCAGAATCATTTCTGCACTTTGTGACTCAAAGACATATATCCTCATACGCACACACACACACACACACACACATCTTGCCCCATCCTGTGATTGTAAATTAGCCCTTACAGGCCGGTAGCTTCGGGTGCCTTGATTGCCAATTATATTTTACTCAGCGTTTATTCAAACGCTGAGTGAAGTGCTGTTGCATGAGTGATCACAGTCAGCATCCTCATTGTTCATTACTTATCCAGCATTATCATTCTAGCCAGTAGAATATCGATTTTTTCCCCCCCGACGTCTTTGTGTAGAAGTTGTTCCTGTAAAAATGACACCGTGCAGATGTGTGCGGACGTTCTCCTGAAGCGTTTGCTGAATTTTAAAGAAGCCCCTTGCTAGGTTTCCTTGCTAGACAAACACATGTGTCATATGAATTTATATATGCACCTTCACATACATACACTTATTTAAATCCTCTCTTGTGCCTGGTTTGTTATTGACTGGATTCATGGACTTTGAACGTTTTATTTGCTGGAGTGACAAAAGCTCAGGCATAATTTATAACTTTAATTAAAAGGGAAATGGGGGAAGAAGCAAAGCCACTCTTCTTTGCCCAGAAGTGCGTCATCAGACTCAAAGTGACAAGGTGGAGAGAATTTATGAATACTGGGCAAAAAAAAGCGAATAATTATGGCAACTCACGCGGGTCTGTAGGGGATTATGATCGGACTGGTTGTGGTGTTCGTCAGCAGAAAGACAAAGGAACTGCTCTTTTTTGTGTGTGAATTTTTGGGATTGGCGAATGTGGCAGGGAGAGAATGTAGCAGACACATCAGACCCAATGTGGAAAAAGTGGAAAAAATCAGCAGTGTGCATTTATCTGAGGAGACACTGAGCCTTTAACTTGGCTTCTGTTAATACTTGAATGGCAGGCAGTTTGGAGGATTTTCAGGAAATGCTGAGCAGCGCTGTCTTAGAATTGGCAACATAATACGTTTGTGTGTGTATCTCTGTAATAAAATAATTTAAATCCTATTCATAAAAACTTTATAGAAAGAGGTGACTGAGCTTGTGTAGATAAAACTGGTCTTCCTTTAACTAGAGGGTCAGGAACCCAATCCCTAGTCATATAAATGACGGGATTTGCCACAGCTGTTGTCTATACAGTGAAGTCAGTGGGAAACGTGGATAATTGTATTTTGTTGTGAAAAATTCAGTTAGCATATAGGCCACATATAGATAGAATCTAGGTCTCTACTCATACTTTCGTCTCTAAATTTATCATAGTTTTCACTTCCCTAAATATTTGATCTGGAAATTACTGTGTGAAACTCTCCGGAGATTTTATTTTTCTTGTATAAATTCAACTCTGGGTTTGACTTAGATTTCCCAGGATCAATTCAAAGTTAGTGTGAAAACTTTACATCAGGCACAAACTCATTATTATGCCTGATGTTGGTGATATTTATTGTTATTGATTTTATCGTATCTCTGTGGTGTGAGTAGATAGTGAATTCCTCAGCGAATCCTGAAGGACAGCCCTGACTAGAAAATACTTCAAACCTCCCACAGTGTTCTAGGAAGACTGAAGCTTTAATGAGCATCAATTTATTTTGTGTAGCAAAAGAAACACGAGGTCAATAACCCTTTTGAGACGGGGAAAAAAAGTCTGCATAAGAAATATTGCTTTATGCATAAACACCCATTTAACTGGTGTGGAAACTGCTCTTTGCTTAAAACAGGAGTCAACTCGTTCTGATTTAGAATATCAATCCGGACAGAAAATCAATAATGTAATCGTATAATTAAATAACTTCCAATTTGTAGTGTATTATAGCCAAACATTGTCATTTGCGGTTGTTGATTCTAGTCGATACAGCGCCCCAATTACCTGGAGTAAAAAGTGAACCAGAGACCTGGAAAGTTCATCGTACTCTAATAAATCTCTCTGTATGTGGTGGGCATTCGCTCGTCATCGAGCATCATGTAAGGTCAGCCTGTGGGTTTGTGATTATTTAGGAGAGTGGCTCAATATATGGATTTGTTTATCTCCTCGCTTCATCCACCGGGGGCACCTCCACACTCCCACTCTGCAGGGAGACAAGTAGGCAACGGCATCCGCTAGGAAATAAAAGAGAGCTCAGAGTCCCAGCTGTGATATTTTACAGTGACTTTTATTACTTCCATTGCTAGATTGACAGCAGGATGTGTAGAAATAAGATAAAGTTTCTTTTTAGGAATAGGATGACTCACCTTTTCTGTTTTAAACTTATTTTTATAAACTACAAAAGTTGTATTTTAAGTAGTTTTTAATTGATGCACATTTAAATCAAGTTGCTCAAAACATTTGGACAAAAACTCTGACCATAGTTTGGAAAATTGGATTCTGATCTTTTTACAAGGACCGTAGTTAGTGCATTTATAAGACAAGACACTAAGAACACATAACTTTTGCCAAGTCACATATGCCGATCCTCCACTGTGGAGACCTCTGCTAACGGGAGCAGCCAAAAGTCATTCTTCTGCCTGAAAAATGCACCAGGAGATGCCTGGGAAAGCAGAAACATTTCTGACATTCTAAGATTTTCCAGAAACTTGACAACTTTGGCCAAATTTGAGTTCCAGGAAAACTTCCAGGGTTACAGTGAATTTGCGGACACCTGCGTTCTCTATGGACAGTTGTAATGGAATAAAAAAAAAGAAAGGACTTCATTGTAACTATGGCTGAAAACAAATTATCAGGTTATGTAGTTGAACAAAACCCACCTACAAAGCTGGACAGATTTAAAGATTGTATTAGCTTCATGTGCTTCATTACTTATTTTGGCAAAGTCTGTTCAGAGCAATAAATCATCGACACATCTCTGGTGTATGTGAACCATTCCCTCGGTATAGGTGTCTGCTCTATGGCACTGTTGACAACACTAAATTATCTTCATGTGAGCACAGACACTATCAGCTGCTAACATAGTGTCAACTGTCAGAAAGCAGCACGGCGACAACTCGGAGCAGAAGTAATTCCTCAGAGAGTGATACATGTGTTGTAGGATCAACAAACTCCTCTCCTGCTAGACCGTCTACCTGACTGCCTCTTGTGCATCCATGCAGGAGGCTGCACAGACAGAAGGATTGCTTTGAAAATCATCAAACTTCTGCAGCATTTCATTTTAAAGTGACTGGTATGGGAGAAATGAATATCTGCTGCCAACACACCTGCTGTTTTGTTGCAGTTGTGCACGAGCCCTGATTTGTTGAAAAGAATAGGATGTGAAAAAGTAAACACAAAGCATCTTATATCTACCCCATTGTATTCACACAAAGTTGAAGTTCCAGGTCTATAAAATGTTGGCAAGAATAAAGCAGGGGATGGTAACAGACATACGGGTGCTAACGTCAATAATCCCATGAAGTAAAATAATATTACTGCCAATATTACAAGTGCTGTATTTCTACAGACCCAACCTTTTCTCCCTCAAAAATAAAGTAATGTATTAATAGCAATCTCAACAGGAAGTGGGTTTCAGTAGATCAGACACAGTGACTCACATTACAGACCTGAGGTAAAGGCTTAAAATACTAAATCGATAAAAAAAAAATTTAATTTAATTTTGTGATTTGATTTTTCTTTAAAAGCACTGCAGCCTTTTGGCAGCTTTTCAGAAAACGTATATAAATCTAACAGGCTACTGTTTAAATGTATAGTTGTTTTAAGATAAACTAGTTTGTCCTGCACAGCAGAGTGTATTTTGTTTTTTTTGTTTGTTGTTTTTGTGTTTTTTGACCAGACTGCACAGTTTTCTTAAATGCAAGGTCACTTTTTATTTTAGCTCATACTGTATAGGTAGTAGCTCTGTTTTGTAACATCGCCTTCACAATGTTGACATTTTACTTATTTGTTTTTTAACAATGGCGACAAATGGCTGAAACTCCAATTCCCAGGAGATCTTGCAGCCCCCCTCCGGCCCTCGTGTATGAGCTCTCTCTCTGCATGCAGTGGTGAGAATGCAGAGTGTTTGGAGGCGGAGGAAAGGGAGTCAGTCGGCTCACAGAGGAGCTGTGTTGGGCAGCAGGAGGAGCCGAAGCGCAGCGACCGAAAAGGCAGATACAGCGACTGAAAAAGAAAGACGCGAAAGCGGCACAAATTCAACCGTTTGGACTTTGAAATTGCACCGAAGAATACAGTTACCGGAAGACATTTAACATATGGACTAAAAGGAAGAGATTGAGCTCCGAGGAACAGACACATCCACATCGACCAATCCCCGTCCTAAAAACGACAGAAGGAATCGGCAAAAAGGAGGAGGTGAGAGGAAAATCCGTTTGTGGCTGCGAGACATTTGAAAAACTGTGCAGGGAGTCAAAACAGTGCAACAGTCGACTTTGCTGTTGAAGTTTTAGGCAACAGTTTTGTTACATTGTGGAAACCGAACTGCGTTTATCGTCCTTTTTCTTGTCTTTCTAAACAAGCAACTGTTGTGGCCGGTGTTCTGTTGTGTGCGGCTTTAAAGCCCCCTATGTTACATAGGTGCAAATCGTATCCCACCCGAAATGGGTGAGGTTTGTGTGTTCATACAAAAGACCTGTGCTGCCTTCAGAGTCCACTGGGACGAAGTGGTTGTCGTTGGCCCTCATTGAGTCGATGCAGTTTGTCAACTGGCTGTTATCTGGGTTTGCATGCATATAAAAATATTGTTTCTGCAAACATTTATGTGTGCGTGTGTTGGAGGTTATATGGCAGCCTGTGTGATTTCCCTCGTTCTTTGGCGGTGATACAAAGCAAGACTGTGTGTGTGTGTGTGTGTGTCTTTGGGGTGTGTGTGAGAAAGTATATATATATGTGTGTTTTATTTGTATTTTATCCAGTGCAATCCAAAGAATCGGTTTCTTTCTGGTGAGGAACTAAAACATGCACTCGTGCATTAAACCTTAACTTTTGCACATGCTGTAAAACCCATTTTTAGGAGGGGTTATCCTTCTCTGCCACTGCGTTAGTACCCCTGTATGAGTGTAGGAAGGAGGGTCCTGCAGAATTTAGTACCACTGTAGTTCAGGACGGTTGTGCACTGTTTGGGATTTAAAGCCACATAGGAAGGAGGGAGGGAGGGTCAGTGGAAAGACCAGAGAAACTGGACGAACCCCTGCCAAGAATGTAGTTGCAGGGAGACACACTGTGATGTGGGTTTGTGGAGGATTAACACATAAAAAAGCACTTGTCCACCGATCAGATTTGAACTCCTTGCTGTTTAAAAAAATATAACATGTGGTACAGTGACTCGCGTCAACCTGCAGGACTCCTGTATTTGTTTGCCTTTTCTTCTATTATCCACACTTATGTTTAGCCACACTATGTTTTATCCGGGTTTAACCTTTTGCCATCTATCTTGTGTTTTCCAGGGTCAGAGCCAGTCGTTCATGTGTTATTGGAGAAAATGACTCTGCACTGGCAGCCGCTCTTCATGCTAATGTAATGGAAACATGCTTTGGTCATCCCCGTAACATCTGAAATGCATCTGCGGGACTATACCATCAACTCCCATGGCTAATTGTATCAAGTGGTGGCGGCTGCAGTTTGCCAGTAAATGCACTCCAGAGCTGGGTGCCCTGCCATGCCCTGCGCCATGCTAAAACAGCATGCTCATAATAACAAGGAGCACTCAGTTCAGCCAGTGGGAAAGCTTTGGAAAAAGTTGGTGGAAAATCTAGGTCTTGAGAATCAATTTTGATTCTCCTTTATTTATTTTTTCAAATTTTGACCTAGATATTCTGAAGCACTGCTTCTGCAGCCATCCACGGCTGTGCTGGTTCTTTTGCCTCCTCATTCACTCCAGTCCTTTGGTCCTACATAAAAAAAAACTGTGAAGTGCACCCTGCTTTAACCTAAGCAAAATGGATTTTGGAATTTGAAGCAAGCTCTTGGTTGTGAGGTGAAAATGTGAGGGGAGGAAGTAAGGCAAGGACCCCTATGAAGTGGAGGAATAGGCGGAAGCACAGTGCAAGATCAAAATGGCCCAAACCAGTTTGCTGCAGGGGAAGCGTTTTTACTGCCGGGAGTGGGTCTTCCATAAGATCCAGCATTGCCTCCAGGAGAAAACAAACAACCTGAGCGGAGCGACCGGCACTCACAGCAAGCAGCAGCCGCTGGCACCCAGCGGGGGTGCGTCCACTCCCGGTAGCCTCACAGCAGGATCCACTAAGTCAAGCAGCTCCTGGGGGGTGTTGCTGGTGGGAGGGCCAGGAAGTGGGAAAACTGCTCTGTGCACAGAGTTGTTATGGCCCACATCTGCACAAGGAACTCACCGGGGTCTGAACCAGCAAAGCTTGGCATTCCACTTCTGCCGTGCAGACGACTCTGATACGTTGTGTGTCAGTGGGTTTATCAGGAGCCTGGTGGGTCAGATCTGCCGCAGCGAGTTGGTGCCGGGATATGAGGAGAAGTTAAGGGACCCGGCTGTGCAGAGCACTTTGCAGCCCGGAGAGTGTGAGAGGAACCCAACAGAGGCGTTCAAGAGGTGAGAATGCACGCAAACACACCTTTGTCCTTCTCTCTGCGACAATTACACCCCCTGTGTTTATCACACTTGCACATACTGTAGAAGTGCATGCATTTATTGCTGGTCGTTAGACAATGACAGGAAAATGATGAGACAATCATCTGTTATCAAGCCACAGTGTCACCATCTGCAGGTTGTTTCTCAGATTTGCATCATCACTACGTCAATGTCTTCAGTTACTGCTAGAATTTTTTGTGACCTTTCACCTACATTCTGTAATATTATTAAAAAAATGACTTATTGACATAATTAAATTAATGAATTTTTATGTATTTATTTTAGTGAAAACTGCTAAATTTTACACACTACAACAGCCTGTCTATCAATCACTACGTATGAATTTTTTTCTTTGTGTGGCCTTGCTGTTACGATCCAAGGTTTGGTCGGATTTTTGGTTTGGCTGGAAATGTAAAATGCAAAGCCGGCCCCTCCCCCATTTCTTGCCTCTCCACCTCCTGACCCTTCCTCCCTCCCTGTTCTTTATTGTTTTTACTGCTGCTCACACTCAGCACGTAGCTCCGCCTCAGCAGCCCTCCACTTATTTGATGTCATGGTTTTGTTGGTTTTCCCCCCCGGTGTGGCATGCTGGGTGGGACCGTTCCCAGCTTGCCTTCTGATCCATTGAAGGTCAGATATTTTTAAGTTGCAGTCGAGCTCAGGTGGCCATAGACTCATAAGTAAGGAGCTTCGAAGTGTGACTGACTCACTGGTTGACTGGCTTACTGGCTGACCTGAGTGACCAGCACTGCACCAAGATGATGTGAAAATGAAGTACAGTTAAACTTGCCGACTTCCTCTGCCTTTGCCCGGGCATGTAACATGATCATGTGTGGCTGTTATTGTAGAGACGGGCTTTAAAAAGGAGCTCCACGTGAGCCTGTGTGTATGTGGGTTGCTTTGCAGGGCCCACCTTTACAGCAGAGGCCCAGCCGGCTGTGCAACACAAGGCTGGAATGCAACACTGAACACGCACTCGCACACAAACACACACTCACGTTTCTCATCTGGCCATCTGGTGACGCTTATTGCACCATCTCAACATCGCACACTGGTGGAGAAAGAGATGTAGGTCAAACGTTCAGGAAGGTAAATCATTTTTTAAATGCTCACCAGAGTCAACAGCTCACACCGCATCTGTTCCCAAGGAAGTGCACTCTCGTCTTGTCATCTGCTGGTAATCATAGAGCTTGTACCTCAGTTTGACCCTGGCAGATAAAAGGCAGGTTTATCGCGGGGGAGAGCATGCCCAGCAGAGACTTCTGACTTCAGCTCTGCCACACTGGAAATTCAAGGGGTTTCTTGCACAGACTGTCATATTTGCTTCAACTCTCAGTCCTCAGACTCTTACCTTTGCAGGCAACAAAGCTTGCTGTTGCTGAGCTTATCACCACGCTCTTTTTTTGTTTGTCAGGCACAAAAAGCACCTCTGCAAATGCCTTATCGCCATCTCAGGTGTAAAAGCGTCCCAGGCAGTATTGTACACAAATAATCTTAAGGGCTCCCCTGCTGTTCTAGATGATATCAGGTTTCAAGATGCCAGGCTTGTCGTCTGCATCTGGCAGCTACTTTTAAAAACAAAATCCAGGGATGGAACAAAGCAAAGTTTTGTTTTTTCCCCCATTCTGAGATGAATACTTCATATTGATGTTACACATTGGAGCCTGCACCGTACAGTGAAACAAGTTTCCCGACCTGCAACAGCTGTGATTGGAAATGTTAGCTGGTGACTGAATGCATGAAGCCCTGCTAAATTCTTCAACCTAGTCAAAGACAAACAGCTTTGTTTGTTTTTTGTAATCACTAGTGTGTGTTAATACATTCAACTGGTTCAGACATGAGTTTACACCACTCTTTGCAACTTTTACCATTCCCATCTGTACATCCGATTGGACCGAAGGGATTTACAAGGTATTCTTGAGATTTTATAACATTCAATCACCTGTCTTAATCGTCCTTAATGAGTTTTTGTTTTGTTTTTTGCCGTGTATGAAAACAGTGATGTCAATAGTATATTTTAGTAACACATGGACTCAATTCTGTGGGAGAATCCACAACTTTAGAGTTCTAGGGTTCACCACATTCTCTAAAGAAAACTTGAAGAATGAAAAGAATAAAGAATAATGAGGAATAAAAATGACAGTTTTATGCTTGCAGTTTAATTAACTTTTACTTGAACTTTTAAGGTTTATAGAAGTCAGGGCAGCAGAGATTTGCACCAGGCTGACATTTGCGCAGCATTTTTTCTAAATGTTAGCCACTAAGTCAGATCTTGGTGTTTTTATTAAATCCACACAGATGTTTAAAAAAACTTTATTTAAAAAATGTATTGAAATCTAAAAATATGTATATTATCTGGCAGTGAATTTTTTTTACCAGAGTAAGTAGTTACCAGACACTCACCTCCCAAAACATTTTCACTAATCCCTCTTGGGGAATTCCTAAGCCATCCTAACCAATCCCTCCAGCTAGTTTGGCCTTGCCCAAGGTGTCCTTCCAGATAGGCATGTCTTAAACACAGTCTGTGGTGTCTTGATGAAAAGATGCCTGTACTACCAAAATTGTTTCCACTACAATGAACGATTTATTTACAGCGCATGTCACAGTTCCTTACTTTTTCTGTATTTGGTATCTTTATCTTTAATGATTACTTATCGCTCATTAACATAGATGATGTTGAGAACATATATGGCCTGCTTTTTAGCAGGAGATGGCTTAGATATTTTACACAGATTTTACACCAAATACCAATCCTAATGCAACTCCAACATCTTCTGCATAGCAATTGGTAGCACTACCACTGCTCTTCTTTAGCAACATTGGTAGTTTAAGATGTTCTCTACCTGCAGTCTTTTTCATCTTTGTCATTAGAATCTAACATCTTTTCAAAAAAATGTCACCACCAGGAAACTCAATTGTCCATAAAAATCCCAACTTTTTAGGCATAGTAGAACTATCAGATTTCTGTATTTTATTTTAATTATCCTATGCTTAATGCATAATGTAATTGTATTTTTATTATAACTTATTTTAATTTTTATAACAGCTCAGAGTTGTAACATAAGTGAGAGGTTTAAAGGGTGAAGAGGAGAGCAGACAGCACCGTTCTTTGACGTTGCGGAACAGTGTCAGACGTGATGTCATTCAGTCTAATGTACTGCGGTCTGTCTGTGAGGTAGCAGGCAACAAAACAGGGGCCCACTTTCATTTGTGTCAATTTATGCTGAAGTGCAAATGGCTGGATGGTGTTAAAGTCCCTAAAAGAATTCAGGAGGAGAATTCTCACAGCACCACTCCCCCTGTTCAGATGTCAGTGGGCTTGGTGCAGGAGGTAGAGGATGGCATCCTCTACACCCACTTCCTCTCTGTAGGCAAACTGTATTTTGTCCTGGGCATGTTGCACCTTAGGCCGCTCCATAGTCTTCATCAGATGTTATGTGAGTGCCACTGGTCGGACTCTTGTTGTGAACTGCAACATGTACAATGTCTTCCAGATGGTTGGTACTCTCCCTACTCGAAGACTCAGGTTATAGATCCGTTGGACGGGCTGCCGAGTTCAGCAGTGTAGGTCTTAAGTAGCCGTGGACACACTTTGTACGGGTCTGCTGCCTCCCATCCTTATTGTTATACATATCATCATCACAACTTTTTCCAGGTTCACGCTATTGAATGTCTCATCAGCTATTTATCATTGAACCTCACCGGACAGAAATTCAGTTTCCTGTATATCTAAAAGTAATTTGATGCATTGGAAGGAGACACCTGTCAGCGAAGGTCACGAACAGTTCTCCAGATAAAAGCCAGTTTCATCTTTCAGTCTAACTTTCTTCCGCTGTGTGTCTGTGTTGTTTTGAAACACAGACAAATATTCAAACAATGGAGGACATGGACTCTGTAGCTGGGTCAAACCCAATGCCATCACTGCTATCGGAAATTGCTCACTTAGATTCAGAAGCATTATCAAGGACATAATTCCCAGACAAAGCACATTCCTCTGTCCTATTAGCCTCATCAAAGAATGTGTGCGTGCGTTTAAAGTTATACTCTCCTTTTTTGTACAAAAATGCTAGCTTTAAATACGTCGTTTAAGCCCAGTCATGTGTGTCAGAGTAAAGGTAGCAGGGGTTTTTTGTCTTTTCTGCTGACGAGACAAAGCCTTGTAAACCTTTCAGTGGAGGTGCGATCTGCTGTGGGGCTTCACAGTGCTGAGTAAAGTTCCAGCCGGACCAGTTTCTCTCTCTTTCTCTTTGTAAAGGTCACAGACTTCAGATATGATAAATGACTTTGATTTAAAAAAAAAAGTGAACTCACTGAAACTTTTACCTGACGTTTAAAAACACAGATTTCCTGGCAGCAACATCAAACACTGCAACGTGAACCTTCACCTGTGTCTTTCTTGTGAACAGCTGTTGATCATTCAGATAAAAGGGAATATCAAAGCAGTAGTGGGATTAGATTTTGTCTTATAACTTCCTGAAACACAAATAATGTTTTTAGCATGGCAGACGTTTATTGTACTTTTAATAAACTTCTTTGACTTTAGGTAATTTACTCTGCTGATAAAAAGACCAGAAGAAGTTCTGATGAGGTCACAGTCATGACCTCAGTCTGAGAAAGCCACAAATAACGGGACACCAGTGGAAAACAGTAATTGCACTACTGTGTCTGTCGCTTATGTTGAGCCACATTTATGTCTGAGGTTAAACCAACCTCAGCATTTTTTCATGAGTTGGTTAAAGAGCTTTCCCTTTTGTTCTTCTCTATGTCAACTTTGGACTAATGCACCTTTGATGCACGTTCTTCTCAACGGGGGCTAAGAGTTGCTAAATGAGAGCCGGCCCCCTTGTCTTTTATGTGGTGCACGGCTGCGAAAAACTTGCTGCAGATTAGGGCCACATTTTTTAAACAGAAAAAAAAAGTCTCTCAGTGTGACGCATCAACTCCAGTGGAGCAAATGAGGA